CCTCTCTGTTGCCCAAGCGGGAGTGCAGTGGTGCAATCACAGCTCACTGCAGCCTTGACCTCCCAGGCTTGAGTGATCCTCCTTACCTCAGCCTCCTGAGTAGCTGGGACCACAGGCAGGCACTGCCGTGCCCAGCTGATTTTTTGTACTTTTTGTAGAGATGGGGTTTTCGTCATGTTGGCCAGGCTGGTCCTGAACTCCTGGGCTCAAGTGACATGCCCACCTTAGCCTCTCAAAGTGTTGGGATTACAAGTGTGTGCCACTATGCCCAGCCAAAACTTTTTGAGAGCCAACATCACACTCAAAGGAAATGCTCACTGAAGCACTTCAGATTTTCAGATTTGGGATGTGGAACTTGAAAGTATAATGCAATTATTCTAAAACCCCCAAAAATTCTGAAATCCTAAATACTTCTGGTCCCAAGCATTTTGAATAAGGGACACTCAACCTGTATACAGAAATCTCACCTCCTCAACTCTTAAGAATCCCAAGGCCACTGCCAAAGACTTACCTGGTATCTTTTAGGTCCTATGGCTGCCATCCAGATGCCCATGCTTACGTCTTCACCCTATATACACGGCCCACAAAGTTTGAATGTAAAAGTTTTAAATGCCATTTTATTTGCAAAGACAAAACCATGCCAATGCCCATCAGAGACCACCTTTGTACTTTTTTGCTCTGTTATTATTCTAACATGAAAGAGCAAAAGTGGATTCACACAAAGTCAAAGCTAGTGGCCTTTAGTATGAAGCACCCCCACAAAATAATGAGAAGTTGAAACCACGAGTAGATGGCCCATCTTTCTCATGTACCTTAGGCCTCCAGGAAGCACTTTGGGTTCCTCCTTAGGAATACAAATCTTTCTATTCATCCAGGGACTATAGTTTTTTTTGAGACAGTGTCTCCCTCTGTCAGCCAGGGTGGTGTGATCTCGGCTCTGCAACCTCTGCCTACCTGGGTTCATGTGATTCTCCTGTCTCAGCCTCCCAAGTAGCTGGGAATACAGGTGTGCGCCATTATGCTAATTTTTTGTATTTTTAGTAGAGATGGGGTTTGCCATGTTGGCCAGGCTGGT